GAATTTTTAGAGAAGCCCAAATAGGATTTATCTCCAAGAACCTTCCTTCCCCCAAATTCTCACAGTGGAGAGCCAAGAAAGATGTCCTTTTGGCTCTGACAAGGGTAGAGGAAATGTAACTATTTTGAAATGATCTAAGCACATTTTCAATAAAAAAGCTCTCTGATCCAGAAGAAAAGACTTTATCAAAGCTGTATCGCAAATGGGAAAAAGGCATTTCACCAATTCCAGCCTCTTCTACGTTTTTATTTCACCTCAGGGGGAAAAAAAGCTAAAGAACTTGAGATTAATAATAAGATTAAAGACTACTTCTCCTCCCCTACCTTGAACTACCCTACCACACTTCAGTATAACAGTGGATTGCAGCCAAAAGAGCTGCAGACACAAAATATATCTAAGGAGTAGTTATTAGGGAAGCCCAAGGACAACAGAAGAAACAAAATCAAAGATAGTGGAGGAATCTGTACACTCTGGAAGCTACAAATATTTTTGTATTTCTAGGGATTTTGTTGTGGTTGATTTTTCTGGATTTTATACATAGAAAATAAAAATATTTGAGGACAAAGGCAGTTTTATATTTTCATCCCCAATGTATATTTCATCCTTTTGTTTACTTATTGCACTAGCTAAGTTTTCCAATAAAATACTGAATATAAAGGGTGAAAGAGGACATCCTTCCCACTTCCTAATCGTATAGGGAAAATGTCCAGTTTCTTATCATTGACTGAAAAGATGGCTCTACTTTTTTTTTGTAGATGTTTTATTGAAGTTGAGTACTTCTCTATTCTGAGTTTGATGAGAGATTTTTATCATAAATGAATGTTAGATTTTATCAAATGTTTTTTTCTATACAAATTGATATGATTATATGATTTTTCTTCTTTAGACTGTTGATGTGATTTTTGAATGTTGAAATAGCTTTGCTTACCTGAAATAATTTCATCTCGGTGTGGTATATAATTCTTCTTATATATTGCTGTTTTGATTTCCTAATATTTTGTTGAGGGTTTTTGCATCTATGTTCATAAGAGATATTAGTCTGTAATACTTCATATACTATTAATGATATTAACACTGTAGGCCCATATGGTTTCACTGTCAAATTCTACCAAACAATTAAGGAAGAATTAATATTCATTTAACATGGTTTAGCACTCTCATATAGTTAGAAAAGAGATCAATGGAATAGAACAGAGTCTATAAAATAGACCCACGTGTATGATCAATTTATTTTTGACAAAGATGCAAAAACAAAACAGAGGGAAATGTTAATCTTTCCAACACATTTTACTGGAAAAGCTTCAATCTATATCCAGCACCATATAAAAAGTGAATTACAATGAATCTTACACCTAAATGTGAAACTTAAAACTAAAAATTTCTAGAAGAAAACATCGGATAAAATATTTGTGAATTTGGGTTAGGTTCACATTTCTTTAATATGACCTCAAAAGCACAGTCCACAATATTAAAAAAAACATAATTTGTACCTTATGAAAATTAAAAACTTATTTTAAAAGATATAGCTAAGAGAATAAAAATATAGGCTATAATGTGGCAAAAAATATTTGAAATTATATTTCTAAAAACTAACTTGATTCCAAAACACATAAGGAACTCTCCAATGCTAATAAAAAAAAATATCCAAACATTTCAAAGAATGGGAAAAAAACATTTGAACAGACACTTTGCAAGAGAAGGTATATTGATAGCAAATGCACATTAAAATGATGTTCAATGTGATTAGAATAATGAAAGTTAAACCATGAGATATCACTACATGCCTATTAGGAAAGGTAACATTTAAGGTTGACTTTTCCAAGTATTATTAAAGATGTGAAGCAACTATATTTCTCATATACTGAAGGTGGGAATGGAAAATGGTATGACCACTTTGGAAAATAGTTTAGCAGCTCCTTCAGGATCTAAAGGAGCACATATGACCCAGTCATAATATTCTCAGGTACTTCCCAAGAGAAAGGAAAGCAGGTTTCTATGCAAAGATTTGTACATGGATATTCACCAAAAATATATTCATGATCTCCAGAACTGGAAACAAGCCAAATGTGTATCCATGTGTGAGTGGAAATATAAATTTTGTATGTACATTCACATAATGGAATGTCACTGAGGAATGAATGGGATGGACTCTTGACATGCACAAAACACACTCTCAAGATAATCGTGCTAAATGAGAGTCCAGATAAACAATGCAAACATACTGTATGTTTCCATTTAAATAAAATTTTAGATAATGAAAAATTAATTCTTGTGACAGAAAGCAAATAACAGTTGTCTTGGCATGGGGTAAAGAGTTAGGGAGAAGCAGAAGGGAGATGCTATAAAAAGGCATGAAAAAATTTGGGGGCTGATGGCTATCCTTATCTTGAGAGTGGTGATGATTTCACAAGATTATATATATTTCAGAACTTGTCAAATTGTACCCTTTAAATATGTGCAATTTATTGAGTCAATTATATCTCAATAGAACTTTAAAAAATACTGGAACAGGGCATTTTCTTTTAGCTATACATCTAATTTTCTTATCCTCTTTATAAGATTTATATCTTGGAAGAGATGGTCTTTTCTTCCTATATTTTTTTTTCTCACCTTGTGTTCACCCCTCAATCCATGCCAATCTGGCTTCAGCCCCCAGCTTCTGTCAAAATTGTTCTCACTAAATTAACCAATAACCTCTACAACATTTAATCAAAATTGCCTTTCCCCTTCCTGTCTCAATTAACTCCTCAAGAGCATTCAACATCGCTGACCACTTTCTTCAAGTCCTCCTTGCTTTTCATCTTTTTAAACTATCTTCCTCAGATTTCAGCCTAAATACATTTTTATTAGGAAAGTCTTTTCTGTTTTCCTGTTATCTTATCTGGAGGCAGCCTGTTTCTTTTTTTATTAGCAATTTTAACATGTTTTGATTATAAGTTGATGCATTTGCTTAGTGGCTATATTATACTACTGACCAGTAAAACCAATAAGGCTACAGTTATAGCTATTTTGCTCATTTCGATTTCCTCATTGCCCTCAACAGTGCTATACACATAGAAGGCAAATGAATAAACAAATTAGCATTTTGTGAGCTATACAAAGAATATATCACAGTTGATCTTTTTAATAACTTATGTAAGACACTTAATAGTATAGTCTAAATAGCACAGGCTTCAAGACAGGAAGATATAGAATCAAATTTAGCCTTTACCATTTCTTCGATGTGTGACTTCAGACAATTTATTACATTTTATGGGCATAAATTTTTTTATTTCTATTTTGTGTACAATTTAGTTCTCCTTTGAAGTTTTTAAGTATACTAAATTCAATGATGAATATATAACTCTCAGTAGAAAGCCTGCAAAATCACATGGACAGTTTTAAGTATTATTATACATGTTAATGTATTTTAAAGGGAAGTTGCAGGCAATCAAGTATTTCTTTCATATATTTTAGGAAAGAGTTAAATAAATAAAAATTGGTTATGTCTTGATATGACATACTTTCGAAGACAATAATTAGCTTAAGAATTTAAATGTAGTAAGCCCAGTTTAGAAAATGACCAGCCCATAGTACGCCAACATGCTTATTTAGCAACTATTTTATTATTTAAAGCTTTACTTAGTAGCATTTTCATTATAAAAGTATTTTTTCAATAATACTTAGAACAAAAGTACAACTTTTTTCATAATGGTTATAATTATATGACTATTTAAATCTATTATATTATTTATCATCTAATAAGTTCATTAGTTCTAAGTTTTATTGACATGCTTTTGGTGATTTAAGAGCAATATCATGAAATAATAAAATTAAAGTTATAAAGAAATATGTGAATTAAAGTCTTATTATTATTAATTTTGCAATTACTAAATATACATGTACATTTTCAGCTATTATTCATGGTGGGTTTTTGGGGTTTTTTTCTTTTTTTTTTTTGAAACAAGGTCTCACTCTGTCTTCTGGGCTAGAGTGCAGTGGCATCATCAAAACTCACTGCAACCTCAAACTCCCAGGTTCAAGCTAATCCTCCTGCCTCAGCATCTAGAGTAGCTGGTCTACAGGTGCATATTTTTTGTAGAGACGGGGCCTCGCTCTTGCTCAGGCTGGTCTCTAACTCCTGGCCATAAGCAATCCTCCCCCCTCGGCCTCCCTAAGTACCAGGACTACAGACCTCAGCCACCGTCCCCAGCCTATTCATAGTGTTTTGATGAACACAATCAGACAAATGTGTGAAACAAAATGTGATCAATTTTTGTCTTCCCTGTGGAAAAAAATAAGAATATTACTTGTTAGGCACTGGAGTGAGTGAAAGCTGTGTGAAACTTCAATTACCAAAGAAATCCAAAATCATAAAAATAGGAAAAGAACTAGAAAGAAATAGTTTAATATAATTAATACATCAAATTATAAAAACAGTACTAAACACTAAGAACATGATGATAAAAAAGGATGTTTTTAAATATCTCTATTCTTTCCAAGAACATCCAAAGTTTCATTTCATAGGCTAACAAAGCATGCCATTAAATAGACAGTTACAGAAAGGTTACTATGACACTATGTACCATTAGTGTTTGTAATTTAAAGGTATATGAAAAACCAAAATTTATTAATAATAATTATAAATATATCTACAGGAAAATTTTAACATTATAGTAACATAAATACTAAATTAATTTTCATTCAATTCAACATGATCTGCAGTACAATAAATTAGCGGCATGGTAAGTTTTTTTGTTTTTTTTTTTTTGAGACAGAGTCTCGCTTTGTTGCCTAGGCTAGAATGAGTGCCGTGGTGTCAGCCTAGCTCACAGCAACTTCAAACTCCTGGGCTCAAGCAATCCTTCTGCCTCAGCCTCCCAAGTGGCTGGGACTACAGGCATGCGCCACCATGCCCGGCTAATTTTTACTATATATATTATTTGGCCAATTAATTTCTTTCTATTTATAGTAGAGACGGGGTCTTGCTCTTGCTCAGACTGGTTTCGAACTCTTGACCTCGAGCAATCCGCCCGCCTCGGCCTCCCAGAGAACTAGGATTACAGGCGTGAGCCACCGCGCCCGGCCTAACGGCATGGTAAGTTAAAATGACCACATATTCTTGGCCATATCTTCTAAAAAGAGGTGGAGTCCATTTCCTTTCCCATTTAGTCTGGGCTGTACCCACAACTTTCCTTGATCACTAGAACACAACAGAAGTGACTATGTATCTTATGAGGCTGAGTCTTAAGGGATCTCCAGTTTTTCTTATATAGTTCAGAAAGTTTCCTCTTAGAACTTGCCCACCATGCACAGAAAATTCAAGGCACATAGGACAGCTCTAGGATAGCTAACATGCTCCCACTGACAGCCCGGCTAAGCATCCAGCCAACAGCTGGCACCAACTACCGGCCATGTTGAATGAGCCATCTTGTATGACCCAGTCCAGTGGAAACTCCAGCTGACTATGGCCCCAGCTAGCCCCATGTGAAGCAGAAGATCCACCCAATTGTGTCCAAAATATTATAAGCAATAGTAAATGGTACTGTTTTTTTTATTATAGAACCACTAAGTTTTAGGATGGTTTGTTACAAGTGTTCTGAAACAGAAAATAAAAAGTCAATCTTGATTTTAAAAGAATAGTGACTCTGGAGTCAGACTGCTTTTGATCCTTGGACTGACAGCAGTTTGTATGACTTTGGCTAACTTACAACTGACTCCATTTCTCTGAGTCTCCATTTCCACAGAGATCACTTCATGCGATTGTTGTGAGAAGTGAAGGGCTCCTGTAAAGCACTCACACAGTGACTGGAACTTAGTAAAAAGTTCAATAAATGTTGGCTGTTGCTGTGTTATTGCTATTGATGTTGATGTTAACTTGGTCGTATGAAATGTTACATATAAGTTTCACTCAGCTGAAGACTTGTGGTGTTAAGCTGGATGAAAAAATAAAAAAAGCATACGATCAGAAAGAGCTTGTGTCCAATAAATATATTTCAAATGATACTTTTTAAATAACAGCAATATTTCTGGAGAAAAAGGTAATTTGAAAATTGAGTAAATAAAGCTATAACAAAGTGTATTACCCTTTGCCTCATTTTCCAGAAACATTTAAATAGATGCATTAAGATGTTGTCATGAAGCTTGAATACCTGAAGTTAGTTCTATAATTTGGAATGATAATATAATTAATGTTCCTGTTTACTTTATAGAAATTGTTTTTGCTATTTAACATAAAACTGAAGTTATCTCATCCCAGAAATACATCATAGAAGTCAGACATATGTCTCAATAAGATTTCATTAGATGCCCCATTTTATTCTTCATTTCTCAGATTAAATTTTAGATTCTGACAAGAACTCTCATTTATAGTGGGCAGTCATAAAACCCTTCCCCTTTTACTTATACTTTACAAATTTCCCAGTGGTATTCTCTAATTAGCTCTAAATTTTGACTTCACATTTCGAATGGCTCTTCTTTGTCCGTAAGGGATAATTAACACTGGATTGATACTAATAGCTAGTATCTATTTGTGTTACCCAAACAAGTATTTTTATCTTTATGTTTGACCAACTACATATTGTAAAACCACTAATTTCACTCGCAAAGAGGCAAACTCTTAATTTTCTCCACATCTACACTTTCTAGCTCAGCGGGACATGTCTCTTCTCTCCAGCCCCATTACAGAATTAATTTATCCAATAGAGAAGGGCAGTCATTCTGATACATGGTTATGAAAAACTCTGCTCCCTACTGATATGTCAATAAAACCCCAGGGGCATCTCCCTCAATATTTTTCCTTTAAAGTTCTCTTATGTTTAACTAATTTCTATAGGGTTTATGATATTAACATAAATTTAGTGTAGTTTCAATGTGTCATGGGAAAAATGCAAAAGGAGTTAATTTAAGGGAAAAATTACAATTCTGAAGAAAATATAATTTTATTTATAAAAATGAATAAAGAGAACATACATATAAAAATGTATACAACAGTTCCTGAAGACATCATTTTATTTAGTGTAGATTAAAAGTAGCTACTCAAGCTAAGTCAGGCCAATTTGTTCAGTTTTTTCTCTTACTCAGAACTGACCTACTCAGAAATGTCTGATCAATATAAACACAGCTTTCAAATTTCTATTTTCTGTATGACATGAATCAACAGAAAAAAAAAAAACATAGTAAAACCCACAGAACTTGCCACAATATTTTTCAGTGATTAAACAGGAAATCCTGACAGCATCAGGAAGCATGACAAGAAAACCCACTTTAATGATAAGGATATAAGGATAAGTAATTGGCTAATGCCAGCTAGTAAATTAATAATTACTAAAATAAAATGTATGCTGTTAGATTTTTAAATCATTAAGATTGTTTAGGCCTTTTAATGTTATTTTTTAATTCTTTAAACTCTTATTTGGCATAATATTGGTTATATCATTTGGAAAGCAGGCCATCATGAGGATACTAGAGCAAGAGAAACTTCTTCAGCTGGTCCAGGCTGTGATGGTAGCAGAACTCACAACTCAATCCTTGTTATCTACTGGTAATTCCACAGTGAATATCTGTACCAAAATACAAAGCTGTGCATGTAAGAAAGAATCTTAAGTATAACCTAAATATCAAACTAAAGCTACATCCCCCATGGCAAGTAAATAGTTTTGATTAATTATCAGTTCTTGGTTTCTTTGTTCAGCAGAGATTCAATCAAGAACTATGTGAGCTAAGCTATCCATCATCAGGTGTTGTAAGATTCACTTGCCATAAACATAGTCATGACCAGAGATGGGGTTCAGGACATGGTACCCTAAAATATGACACTCTGATATATTGAATATTTTAAGTGGAATGAATTTGAGAAATAGCAAATGCAAAAAAATTCTCTATGACTTTCCCCTGTCCCTTTCCCCTGAAACAGGTCATAAAACCTAGGAAGGATTTTCTGACTTTCTCCTCAAAAGGTCATAAGACCCTCTGAGTGAGAGGTGCCCTCCCTATACCTGGAAGGAAGGAGTATCATTATCTCTGGAAACACAGGGACACGGGAATCTGAATGAATGAGCTTTGCTAAATGTCCCCCAGTCTATTAGCTCATACCACCTTTGTCCTGTGATATTGGTCCATGATTCTCAACTTTTCATCAAATCTACTAAAAACAAAACAAAACAAAACCTACTTAGGTTTAGCTCCTCCTTCAGTCTTCATGTCTTTATAACAGCTCTCATGTCATTTAAATTTGATATTAAGTAAATTTGTATGCTAGTCTCTTGTTAATCTGTCTTTTGTTAGAAGGGCCCAAGTCAATGAACCTAAGATGGGAAAAATATTTCTTCTGCCCTACACCAATAATACTTCAACAAGTAGGAGTGATATATTAATAGAATACACGAATGTTCTACAGGCACAGGTAAGTTGCATGAGGAACTGACTCACACTCTCAGTTCCATCTATTTTTGCTGCATTTTTGTCTCTCTCTCAAATCACAACATGGCCCAATGAGTCCCCAAATTCAAACCCAGTTTATAGATGATGCCACATGTTGACACTATCCAAATGCAGACAGCAGTATTACTATATTTACCACCATATTTTTTTTAGGTAGCTTTAAAAAGCAGTAGAGAAAGAATCTTCCCAGTATGTAGAATTTCAAACAATACATTTGGTTGTCCATTTCACCTGAAGGAGATGGCCTGAGATATAGATTTAAGGAAGGAAGATAATCCTTTTCCCCTGTCCTTAGCAGGTAGAGAATAGGGAGTTGGCCCAAGAATGACCACCAGGATTCTGCTGGCTGAGGCGCTGAACTTTGAAATCTTAGAAAGCTATGCAAAGATACAGAGTCAAATTAGAGATTATTTGTGCCAGCTGTGTTGAAGTCAAGTATACAGAGGCAGCAATGGCAACAAGAAGAATTGAAGATAGAATTAGTGGAATGTTCTAATCAGGCAATTTCTCCGGGTTGTCCTGCTCACAGTGATCCTCATTCAAGCCTAGTTCTACAGCATACTCTTAAATTCCATGATCTTGCAGACACCTTTCTAACAATGACTATTTTATTCAAAGTAATCAGAGTTAATTTATGGTTTGAAATTAAGAAATGTGATATTTGTCCTTTGCCTCCTTATAGAGATAATTTACATTTTTTATTCACTAAGTCACAGAGATTCTTTAACTAAACTTTAGTTGGCTCCTGAACATTGTCTTATGCCCATATGTGCAATTCTTTATAAAATCAAGTTTTAGTGAGAGCCCTGATAAATCTGTTCAGCAAGAGCCCCAACCCTTGTTATCTGATCACCCTAGACATCTGATTGGCTTCCTCATCCCCACCATCCTCCAGGTGATGTCTGATCACTCTGGCCTGCCTCCAGCAAGAATCTTGTTACCTGGGTTTAGCCAAAATCTCCCCTAGCCCACGATGATTCCTCTTGGTAATTTTCCATCCACTGATAACAACTTTACTCTTTGGCTACAAATTTCCACATGTTCATGCTATATTCCAAGTGGAGCCCAATCTCTCTCTCCCACCACAAAATCCCATTGCAATGGTCTCCATTCCTTTGACAATAGTCCTGCTGCCCTTCTTGGATAAAGTCTGCCTTAACATCTTTAACAAGCAGCATTAATATTGTTTGCTTTAACAAAAGAAATATGTTTTATGAGTTTAATGCTGGGTCCATTCAAAAAAGAAAAATATCTTCACTTCCAACATACGAATATTTATTTACAGAGATTTGTGTTTTAGCACTAGACTGACATTCTATTATTAAGTTTTATAGATAAGATAGCCATAGTTAATAACAAATTTCCATAAATTGCAATGCATTAAAATATTATTTGCATTTTTACCAATAATATAATATGGAAAAAATTGATATGTAATTAGACAATTCATAAAGTGGTGAAAAAAATTATACTCTACTAATCAGTATTTGATAGCTGAGGTTAGTATGCTTTATTTTAAGGGGAAATATAAAGATTTTTCAGAACATTAATGCAGTTGAAATAGAATGAAAATTAAAATTTAATTCATACATTTTAATTGGTTTTAATACAAGAACTAGTCTAAGTATACTAATGAGTCAGGATTGCAAAATAATCAGTAGGCAATAAATTTTAAAAATGCATAATTGGAGAGCAATAATAAATAATGTTTACTTTGTTTTGAATAATCTATGAACTATAATTACTACTTCTGTTTATTCATGTCTGGTTCAAAAACATAAATCAACTTAAGGCCAAGTTGTCTCCTTTCTTCTTTTGATCTTTTGGGGAGTTATTTGGTATTTTTGTATTTCAGTAATTGCAGACACAGGATTTATGCATCACTCTTAAGTTGGAAGAAGACCCTGCTGAACCCATGAATGTAAAATTTAATTTAAAACTTAAGTGCATCATTTACCCTTATATTTAATTAAGCATGTTAAGTGCTCAATTGCTCCAATGTCTCAGTTTTTCTGTGCTCATAGTACTTGAATATGAATAGTGAAGACATTTTTCACCATTGAGCCAATAAAGAAAGTATTATCAAAGGAAGCAAATAACTGAAAGGAATTGTGGTCACTACAAATGTCAGCAAAGCCAGAAATAGTCCTTCAAAATTCAACTATGCTGCCAGTGACTGTAGAAAGGGCAAAGCTTATGAGTCATTGATAAAATCAAAGTTATAGCTGAATGGGCTACTAATCAATCAATAACACAAACCAAAATATTATAACATTAGAATTCATTTTGACATAATTTTTAAAAACCACATTCCTTTTCTATAGATACAACATTATTATTATCAAAAATGCTTATACTTTTCTACCTTTTTTAAAAAGAGAAAATAAAAGTGATCTAAGCAGCATCAGAACCTCATTCTGTTCTTAAACACAAGGGATAAGGGGGGAAAGGAAGCATTAGAAATAATAAGGAACACTTTCTTTTTCCAATCTCCAAACACATATTTAATCAGAATAATGTAACTGATGGATGCCCTCCACAAAAATATCTAGAGGTGATGGACCATGCCCAAGTTGCTCATAAGGTGCTTAATAAATGAAGACAAGAGAGAGAAAGAAACACAAATAGAATAAGAAAGTGTTTCAGAAAGAGTATGTTGTAGCCTTTTTAAAGGTAAAGAGACATAAAAAATCAGAATTTTTAAATTGTTTTCTACACAAGTATATAATAATGTCTCAGTATCTCAAAAGAGATAACGCAACTTACAAACACTCTTAAGTCGAAATTTATGTACTAATTTTATCTAATTCAGAATCTCAACTAGAATAAACCTGACACTGATTACATACTGATGCAAATTAGTTTGCTAGAGTTTTCATGATTAAATATATGCTTATACAAATCCATAGGCACATGTGGATGTTACCTAACATACTACTCCAATAGGTTTTGTGTGAAATAGTCAATTTTTAATTGTATTGTTATAACATGAAAACAGTTTCTGCCAGGCTTTTCCAAATTCCCACCAAAATACCTATAAAAAATGGAGACAAAATCATAAAAATTTACTGTTTTGAAAATAAAATTATTGCTATTATATGAGTAGTTTACCTATTTATAATGTCTAAGAATTTCATGAAGAAAAAAAAATCCAGTCACACTTTCACATCATACACATACATAATGAGTGTGATGTGCACCGTCTGGAGGATGGACATGATTAAAGCTCTGACTGGATGGTAGGGGGCAGGGCATGGGCAATATACATAACCTAAACATTTATACCCCCATAATATGCTGAAATAAAAACAATGAATCAGCTTCACACAAATGAAAGAACATAGAAAGATGCTTTTTCTCTTTTTTGCTGTTTACGCAGAAAACAGAGACCCCTAAACTATAGCAACCACACTCTAAAATCTATTGACTATAGATTGAGGAAGATGCCATCTCTTAAACATTGACCTTCATTTTTCTGTGTCATGAAGATATGTAACTACTGTGACACTTAACACATTTCAGATAAAAACAGAATTTGGGGATTGGCAGTGTATTAGTTTCCTATTGCTGCTGTAACAAATTGTCATCGGTTTAGTGTCTTAATACAACTTAAATTTATTATCTTACTGTTTTAGATATGGGTCTCACTGGATTAAAATGAAGGTATTGGCAGGGCTGCATTCCTTTATAAAGGCTCTACAGGAGAATCTATTTCCTTGCCTTTTCCTGCTCCTAGAAGATGCCTACATTCTTTGGTTAGTGGCCTGCTGCTTCTATCTTCAAAGCTAGTAATGGTGCACTGAGTATTCACATCATATTGCTTCTAACCTTGCTTCTGTTATCACATCTTTTCTGACTCAGGCTCTAAATCTTCTGCCTCCTTCTTCCACATTTAAATGACCTTTGTGACCCACTAGGTTCATCAATATAATCAGGATGGTCCTATTTTAAGATCAACTAATTAGCAACCATAATCCCACCTATAATATTAATTCTCCCTTGCTATGTAATCTAATAGATTCACAGATTCTAGGGATTCAGACATGGACATCTTTGCAGGGAAGGGGGAGACAACATTTTGTCTACCAAGTAGTGCAACATTGTTTGCTGGAAACTTTTACAAAATTATATAACAAACATACACTGAAATGCTAGTAGAGAGAAATAAATTCTGGAGATTATATTTTTCGTGTACTCCAACAGTGTGTTATAGAAATATTACAAATTAGATGCAAGTAATCTAATTACTGCCTCGGGCCAGTAAAGCCACCTGAGACATATCACTTTCTTATTATTTTATTATTTTATACACTCAAGGTTATTTATTAATATATTTGTCTTACCTGTACAATGGGGCTACCATATAATGATGCTAGCACGTCTCCTCCTACACTAGAAGCTTCAAATCAACCATGTTGGGAGTACTCACATTACCAAAAAAAAGGCTTGATTTATTGTTTTGTTGATTGTCTTGACTTTAAAAAATGATTGAAAAAATGTTAATCATGTGCATTAAACTTAAAAGTGTGTCTTGTGGATAGCTGTTACCCTGAGAGGAGAACAAAAAGTTAGAAAATATTATTGTATTATTCTGAACCTATTATCCAAAATTCAGCAAAGAAGTTGCTCACATAATTGATGAACAAATTAAATTAGGTATAGGTCTGAGTTATTACTTATTAATGTAAATGAAAATATCAACCAACATTCATGTCAGAATTATACTCCTTAGTCAATACACTTGTAAGTTGGCTACATAGACAGGAGTTCAGCAAAAATCAGTGAAATCATTCTATGAAAAGCAAGTGGGTATACAGAATTTACAGTAAATACTGAATTTTTTAAAGTATTTTTAAGTTGTTACAAAATTTAAAATATATATGTATATATCTGCATATATATACAAATTTGTATGTACGTTTGCATACATACATACACACACATATGTATATTTAAGAGCCTGTTGTTAAATATATACTAGCATAGCAACTAGACACAATCAAGTGTTATCTAACAAATTTATGCTTTTTTGTGTGATTTTGATGCATAGGATCTTCCAAAGTGCAGGGCCCAGGGAAAGGTTTCCTCTTGTCAGGGGCTAGAATGGTACTGTTAAGGTGGTTTAGTAACTCTCTCAAGGCTCAGAGTTACTAACTGGCATAGAAAGCCTTAAAACCAGAAAGACAAACTCCAAAGACCATGCTCTCTTGATTCTGCAAAATCTCATGAGACTGTAACATTAACCCTAGAAAAGCATAAATGTTTTCGTATTAGAAAATAGAAGCCAATAGGGATTTAAAAAAATTAGGCACTCATTTATAATTTAAAAATTTCTTTTGAGAAACAGAAGACAAATAACTTTATAATGTTTAACTATAAAATTGTATAGTAAACATCTTACCAAATACTGATATTTAGAAGCATTCCATTTAAAATCAGGTACAAGGCAAGGAAAGCCACTATCACCCACAGTAATCAACATTTTCCTGAAAGTCTTAGCTAATACAATATAAAATAAGTAAACATGAGTATTTTAAAGACTGGAATAATAATTTTATTTCTTAGAAAATTCAAGATACTAAACCAATGGTAGAATCATTATAAAGTTGAATAAAGTTCTTAGGGAGGTAATATCAGATATTGGTGAATATTCCAGGCTCTGGGGACAAACTGCCTGGGTTCAAATACCAGCACTACTTTTTATATGACTTAGCACATGTTACTTAAGTTCTCTGTACCTCAGTTTCCTCATTTGTATAATGAAAATAATAGTTCCTACCTATGAAGATATATAATGAGTTGATATATGGATATAACACTGACAAAATCTGTCACAAATTAACCACCATAACTAGTTGTTATTATTGCTGCTAAAAATGCATGATAACATCCAAAAGTAGAAATAACATATCTATGGTCATAAAAATATGGGAAGCCATATCATATGAATGTCAGTTTTCTACAAATTAACCTACAAATTTCAGACAATTCAAATCCAAATCCCAAAAGTGATTTTCAAAGCTGACAATTGAACCCCAAATCTATATGGGAAGAATAAAGGGAAATCCACTGCCAAGACAAATTCTCAGCTATAGTGTTAGAAGGAATTCTCCATCCTGTCAAATATCAAGACAGCATATTAGTACTAATTGTGTGATATGGGACAGGAATATACAAATAATGAACAGATTGAAGAGCCATGATTCCTATCCTCATATATAAATATTTGTATCTGGTAGCAATGCCTTTATAAATTAAAAGAGAACTGATACAATATCTATTCAACAGATGACACTGGAACAATTAGCTACATGAGAAAAGTAAACGCATCAGTTCTCCATGACACAGCATATACTAAGTCAATTTTATTTATGACATAACTTCTGGATGATAGCACAGTGAGATAGAACACTGTATCAGGAACACTGTATCACTGTATCAAATTCAATCCCATATTAGCACTTGGAAAAGGTCTCCAAATAAAAAAAAAATCCTTCCTTTCCTAAAATATTCTCATTTCATGGTGAGGGAGGTAAGTAGGATATCACCTTATGATTCTATGCCTATGCTTTTAAATTCATGACACTCTTGGAGAATTGTAAAGCTACTGACTTCTTTTGAGCATTTGTATCTACAGTTGAAGTTCAGATAGATCCACATTAGTGAATATCTGCTCTGTTTTGTTTTGCTTTTGCAACTTTTCCCCCTTTGTCTGATAGATGAACCTCTATTTGATAAATAGGACTCATTCTGTGTGGTTCTGATGTGTCCTCGACCACAAAGTTAAGGAGATAGCATCAAAATTTTCCAAATTGATTGCCTTGGATATGGGTATATGACCCAGAGTAGACCCATTACAGTCCTCTCAAGACTTATCTGAGAGAGATATTGAAAAAGAAGAACTCTACTTACCAGAATGAGTAAATTTAAAGGTATTTTGAGCCTGGGTCAACCAGTTACAAACTTTACAATACAGAACCTGTCTAGTAATAGAACCAACAAAGAGAAAATCCAAGCCAAAAGAAATAAGAGTAGGACAGATTCCCAATAATATAACAGTGCACTTGAACCAGTCATGAGAGAAGCCAGTAATATTCCTTGAATGTACCACCTTTTATGGTTCATTTAATCATCTGAGTTAAAACTTTTGCCATTGTTACCATAAAAATAATAATTTGGATGATTTAAACATTGAATTAAGACAACATAATTATACAAATATTATTGTAAAATTGATTAGAAATGACAATGTGAGCATAGAAGTAAATGTTGATTCAGGCAAGATGGATTCATTAATACCTGTGTTTACTGCTCCCTCTTCAATAGTCTTGTTTTATTAGGCAAGATCCAATAACTGCTAAAACAAATGGACTCAAAATATGTAATAGCACAAACATATTAATGGCTTATTTCTTGCTCACAAGAGTAAAAAGGTCAGTAGAGCAATCTTCTTCCAAATGGCCAGCAGACATTCTGCCATCTTCACCTTGTGTCATCCAAGGCTTCCCTGGCAGTCCTCTTCATCACACTAGACAGGAAACAAATAGAGCTTAGAGGAGCGTACTTAGGAGTTTTTAATGAGCCAAGCCTAGAAGTAGTGTGTTAACTGTGCTCACATTTCATTGGCTAGAACTCAAGAAATGTCCACACACAAAAAAAACAAGAGAAGTTAGTAATAGAAAATATCTACCTCTGTGAACAAGAAAAAGTGGAGAACAAATGTGATGGTAAACAGCACAAAATTTCTGCAAAAATTACCTTTCTGATGATAAATATTCATGTGTACCCTGTTTCCTCAGATAGTATATACTCACCTTGAGACAACCCTAAGTCCCGTCTATTTAGTATAATCAGTTCACAATTGAGGCTCTATGGGTATTGAGCAGTCCTGTCCATCATGACTGCATGTAGCTGTTGTGGTCCTGCAAAGTATGATAGAAAACAAAAACTATCAGTTCTGTGTATCATGACTGCAGTGGTGGTGGCACAGGAGCAAGAAAACTACAATAGAAAAGTTACATTTAGGGCCAGGCATGATGGCTCATGGCTGTAATCCTAGCACTCTGGGAGGCCAAGGTGGGAGGATTGTTTGAGCTCAGGAGTTCAAGACCAGCCTGAGCAAGAGCAAGACCCCTGTCTCTACTATAAATAGAAATAAATTAGCCAAAAGAACTAAAAATAGAAGAAGTTAGCCAGGCACGGTGGTGTGTGCCTGTAGTCTCAGCTATCCGGGAAGCTATGCCAGGAGGATCACTTGAGCCCAGAAGTTTGAGGTTGCTGTGAGCTAGGCTGACACCATGGCACTCTAACCCAGGCAAGACAGTGAGACTCTGACGAAAGAAAGAAAGAAGGAAAGAAGGAAAGAAAGAAGAAAAGTTACATTTAGAACAAAACAAAAACAACAAAGAATGAACACAGAGCACTCCTCACAATAATAACTATACAATCCTGTTGAACAGGTCTTGTAAAGCACTCCCTCCTCAAACACGTTTTTTCCCTGATGTGGGGAAAGTTTCTTAATTAAACCACATTCCTGTCCAACAGTTAACTTCCTTGTTTGTTGTTCTTCATGTTCTGTTCTCTGGGAAACATTTACTTCTTGTTCTTTAGCCTTGGAAATTATTCATCTTATCCATACTCCTTCCTGTGAAAGTGTGTGGGTCTACAGATTGTTTTGAGTCATTTTTATTTTCTTAGTTCAAGATTTCTTTGAGAAAACAATTCCCTCAAAAACGTAATAATCTTTGGATATATTTCCTCCCAGTCAACTGCATGTGCTAACAAAATAATCAAAAATTTCCTTTTTAGACATAGCCCTAAAGACTGATTTGTTATTCTCCTTTGCCCCTTTAGGTAGATAATTATTTCAAATAACTATGGCTACTTCTAGACCAACTTGACTAGACCACTAGACATATCCATGCAAGCCAAATAGGCTTGCATGGATATGTCATGCACTGAATCTGGGCATTATTGTAAGACTCATTCACATTAACTGTGACCTTCATCAAAACCTTGATCTTTTACTTAAACCTTTTTCAATTTTATTTCATATATTTTTTTAATTTAAATCTAAAAGTAGGGGGTATTTCCAATTCTGTATATTTCTTAATTTTTTCTTTTTCTCTTTTATTTTTTCTGCAAATCGGCTGTTTCCCTGAGATTATGTTTTTCTTATAGTTCCCTGCTAAATGAATGAAAAAAATACAAAAATAGGTTCTTTAAACAACAATAAACATACAATGAAATGACTGAAAAATAAATTTTTGCTGGACTGATTGAAAATAAAAAAAAAACAAAGAAAGAAAATATAAGTAAACTGTATTAGGAGGGTGGAAGAAGACATATACATGTAGAGATTTAAAGATAATCAAATTGTACTATGAACAAAATTTATGTCAACAATTTTGAAAAGTTAAATGAAATTCATTAATAATTTTTTAAAAGATTCCAAACTAATTAAGAAGAAAAATAAAGCCTCATTTGCACTATAACTATTAAAGAAAACAGCATAGTAGTTAAAAAAAATATTCCCACAACATACCAGGCTCAGATATTTTACAGGCCAATTCAAACAAACTTACAAGGAAAAGATATTTCAATATTATAGAGCAATTTAGAAACTAGAAAATGAGTGAATACTACCTGTGAAATTGTTATCAAAACCAGACCTGTCCTATTCATGAATATGCCTATAATAATCTTAAGCATAATATTAGCAAATCAAACCAAAGCGTGGTAGAAATAAATCCAACATGACCAAGTTGAGTTTATCTTACGCATATACGTCTACAACATTAGATAATGTATGAATATTAGTCACCGCATTCATTATTAAAAGAGAAAAACCAAAAAACCATCTCAATAAGTATAGAAAAAGTCTTTGCTGAAGTTCAACATACTATTATTGTTAACAAACAAGCAAAAACTTAGCATGCCAGGAATAGAAAGGCACTTACATAGCCTGACAAAAGGGTTGTTCAAGTAATCACCTAAAGTAAATCAACTGTTTTAATGAGGAAGCCTTACTATCATTAACTTTGAGGTAATTTAAAGTACAAGTATGCCTGTTATCATCACTTTTATTCAAAATCTTGCAGAGGTATAACACAAAAAAGGAGGGAAGCAAGTCACTGGAAAGGAAGAAGCAAATTCTAATTATTCGAAAGTCATATAATTATCTGCTTTGAAAGCTAGAGAATATTCAGATAAGTTGCTAGAAGTGATAAGGTTTCAGGCACATATAACTAAACAAAAACTGCGTTCCTTTCAGGCAACAAGCAGCTAGGTAATTTATTTTAAATGGCATTATAAATAGCAACACACACTGTAAAATATCCAAAAATAAAGTTAACAAAAGAAGAAACAACTAGAGTGCAGAATATGTTAAGATGATATGGAAAGACATTTAAATGTCCCTGAAGTCTTACTTATGTTCGTGGAAATAAAACACACCTTCACGAAGATGTTGATTCTTCCTCCCTCTACCAGAGACATATATAGATAAATGAAATTCCAATTCAAATCTTAATAAGTTTCCCCCACTCTGTAACTGTATAGGATATTCTAAACTTTATATGAAAGAGCAAAATGTCAAAAAAAAAAAAAATTAGCCAAAACAGTGTCAAAAAGAAAAAAAGAAAATGGTAGGGATTGAGTCATGGTCTGTTAGTTATCAAGAGTTTTTATCAAGCTGTAATTATTAAGAAAATGTATAATTGATGAAAGATGACCAGTGACACAGAAGAGAACACAGAAACATATGTTTTGATATATAGAAAAAAAATGACATTTTACATTCAGGGGAAAAATTAGGTTCTGTTTTACAAATAGTGCTAAAACAACTGATTATCCCTATGGTTTTGGGGGTGATTTCACAATTATCGAAATCACATATACTCTCATAAATGCATACAAATATACATATATATATAATTTGCTAAGAATCAATGGTTATAGTAATGCGGGAAAACAAAGAATTTAAGAAAAACAGAAAGAAACAACAGAAGAAAGAACAATTAAATCAAAACTCATACTTAAATTTTAGGTACAAATATGGACAAAATATGGACAAACTGAAATCAATCAAGGTAAAAAGAAAATAATAATAGTAAAATAGCTATGCCAAAGTTAGGTTCATTCCAGGTTCTATATTAAAAAAAAAAAGGTCAATCAATATAAATCACATCAGTACATTCATATACTGTATAGTATATTCATAAAAAGAAATAATTGGTATATTCATAAAAAAGTAATAATTGGTCCTCTCATTAGAAATGGCAATAAAATTAAACATCCAACCATAATTTTTAAAAAAGAAAACTCTTGGCAAATTAGAAAAAAAAATTAACTTCCTAAAAAGTTGATAAAGAGAATGCAAAAAACAAACAACTTACAGATAAAAATATAATTAAAGCATTTAAGATCAAGGGCAAAGCAAGGTAGCTTGTGATTGCCATTTCTATTGGGAAGTACATACGAATGCAAGATATGGCAGCAGGCAAGAATAATACACAGAATGCTTAAGTATTGGAAGAAAAAAACAAGACTTGTTATTCACAGATAACAAGATAGGCTCTATCAAAAATACAAATACAAATACAAAATACAAATGAAACTACAGATAAAGGACTATAATTACACAAGCTTTCATAAAGTTTGCAGGGCACAAATCAATACATAATCAATAACACCCATAAACAAAATGACTTCCTAAACATTGATAATTTTTTAAAAATGGGAAAATGAGCCAAGTATGTAAATAACCTCTTTACAGAAAAAGGAATATAACTAGCCAATATATGTAAATTAAAAATGCTCAAATTTACCAATCATTAAAGAAATGCAAATGAAATCAATAAGGATTATTTTTCACATATTGACTGACAATACAGCTAAGGTCATGTATTGGGAATAGTTTATGGAAATGTGCATTCTCATACATAATTGATGAAAATGTCCATTAGTAAGTCCATTTGAAAGATAATCAGGTGGTACATCATAAAATTAAAATGTCCATAACTTTACACAAAGCGATTCAAATTTCTGTAAATCTATCCAACCTTAACATTCACATAGGAGCGCACAAAGCAGATTCATTCATGTGTGCATGCATTGATTCCTTTCTTATATGCCTCCATATACTAGGACTTACCCTGGTGTTCTGGAAGGTTTGCATACTAAAAGGCTGGGGATGATAAATAAATCAATAAAGAGTATAACAATTAATAGGGTCATAAAAAAATAAAAGAACGACTGAGACCTTTACTTTTCTGGGGCATTATGCAATGCATTGATGAAAGGGGGTAACATCATACCTGAAGAGATTGGTGCCAGCTTTCTTGTGAGGCATATACAATAGAATTAGGTTCACTGTTAATGGTGGGAAAAATGAAATCCCAGTAAAGTTACGGCACGGTGAAAGAGGCATATGGAATTAACACAAAAGCCACAGGGAAAGAGAAGTGATCAGAGCACCATGACTTTAAGGGATCTGAGGCACCCGCCCTCCCGTCTCAGAGTCATATCTGCCTTTCTTGTTTCTCTAAATCCAGGAGTTGGCACGTGTTAGTATAAGTAACTTCATGTAGTTATTTAATTATTAACTCCTGTATAGTGTTTACTGTGTGTGCCAGATGTAATTCCTGAAGTTTTAAAAGTGAAAAATAAAAACACTTTCACTTGTCCCCCATAACAACCTGATGAGGTAGTACTATTTTTATCCCTCTTTTCTTTTTTTAATTTAAATTTTTATTTCAATCGATTTTGGGGGTACAAGTAGTTTCTTGTTACATGAATATATCACACAGTGGTGGCGCAGACGTTTGGTGTACTCATCACCTGAATAGTGGATACTGTACCCAAGAAGTAATTTTACACTTGAGAAAACTGGATCATATAGAGGTAAAGTAACTTGATCCAAGTAACAAGTCGTAGAGACAGGATTATAAACCCAGGCCATCTGGCTAAAAAGAACTTGCTTCTAACCACTATTTTATGCTAATTAAGTTAACAGATTGCTGCTATCACTTTTCTTGCAAAAGGTTTATCCTACTAGAACTACTTTGATAACAATCTTTCATTTTGGAAGAGGGTCTCTGTTTAAAGACTCCTTCAAGAGACTCCTCTCTCCCTGAAGTAGGTAGAAGGGAAAAGGCTCCTCTCACATGGTACATTGACATTGCAACCTTCAGAGAACTATTTGCTGATATAAAATGGAAACTAAGGTAGCCTAAAACCTCTGGACTTGAGGTTTTAAGAGATTATTATTGTCTTCAGTTAGCCTAAGAAAGAGCAACACAGCAGTTAAATTTAAATGTAAAAAAAGGAAGCTCCAGTTACATTAAATTGATGGGGGTTTTAATGATCATCCCACTAAATTTCTGACTATAACATTTATGTGTTGAAAATTCTCACTAGCCAGTGAAATATTTTTCATCTGGAGTAGTTGAGTGATCTGTCTTTTGAATAATAGTAAATACAGCTCACATTTATTTTAGAATGTCAGAAAACAGTTCGGTTGACAATATTAATAGAGTGGAAAATCCATGATTATAGAAGCTTTCATGTCAAATATGACAACCTTCTAAATTACTTGTCAAATTTGACCTGCACACAAGCTTAGATGAACTAAGTTAGCTAAGTTAAGTTAGTGTAAAAGTGAGATAAATCTCAGAATTTCAATGATAGTTTTCATTGAACAAATCTAGGAACTGAAAGAACTATCATTTAGTAAAGAAAATAGAAGAAAACCTCACTTATTCCTGTAATCATCTAAGAATGAAAAGAATATTATACCAAGTTCAAAGAAAACAGACTTTTACCGCATATTTAATGTAACCATGCATACAAACACTATGGAGGCTTGTTTTGATTTATCGTCAGATGAAAGAATTGTTGTTAATAAGGATGCCAAATTAAAAATGCACGTGGTAAAAAATCAAACTATAAAGATTATATTTACAATTAGGAATATTAATTTATTTTCACTTTAATTTTTGAAATCTAGGACTAGAAAATAAATAAGGAATAATTCGGTGAAATAATCTATCAATGATATGTTTATTGGCAACAGTGGGAACTGATATCCCTCATAGCTGTACATAGCCAGCTGTGCTATAAAACTACAAGGTCTATAGGTAGAGGAAAATAAAAAAGCAAATTAAATAGCTTCCATTTATTGAGCAGTACCTAGCATTCATGACATACTGTCCTAGCTATTTTAAAATATCATTTCATTTAATGTTCACAAGAAACTCCACTACACAAATGGATTAGTGTACATACTTCAGTATGCTAGATTGTTATAATTTTCCAGTACTGGAAGGGAAATTTTAGCTTATAAACAATTCTGGGTCAGAAGACATATTGTCTACTTACTGTGTATTTCCTCAGTGCCTCAATAGCATATTAAGAACTTGTTTAGTATATTACAATCCTTAAAGAAGGGTATCAATATTTTATCTGTGGTCTTTCAGTACTTCAATTTCTTGATTCAAAAAATAAAGAACAAGAATGTATAGCTTACATTCTTTTTTTAAAGAGAATTAAGATGCAAAGCTGGGCATGGTGGTGCAATCCCAGCTATGCAGGAGGTTGAGGCAGGAGGCCTGTTTAAGCTCACTAGTTCAAGGCTGCAGAGAAGTATGATTGTTTCTGTGAATAGCCACTGCACTCCAGCTTGGGCAACACAGCAATGTCCCATAACTGAAAAAAGAAAAAAGAATTAGGATATAAACAATACATTGGTAGTTAAAAAGACATTGGTTATATATATATTTTTACATTGCTTTAATAAACATTTATAGTGGTCCTTCTATATGCTATTCATTAGCTTGGTAGTCTACTCTACCTACATGAAGGCAATTCACATCTTGCATTCATGTGTACATCCGTGTTTGTATGTAGATGTGTTGGAGATGGTGTGCAAAGATAAAACCCAATACATAAAATAACCATGTCTACTACAAACATGGCTGGAAAGATTTTAGTACACTAATTATGACTATCTTTTCCCTCTCCCAGATTTTCACCTGTTTTTTGCCTTTCCTTCAAGAAAGTAGTAAGCCCCATGCTTAACGTCCTCAGGATAGGTATATAACTGAAAATAAATGAAAAACAGCTAATCAGAATTCTGAACACTTGTTTTGTAAATCCAGACCTACCTGAGCATAATAGTTTCAGTGGCAAGATAATGATTTTAGAAAATCAGGAGGCCATATTGGATTCCCTCTAAACTACAGTTTTCCCTAGGATGGTGAAGCACAGAGCTACAGACCCCAACAGTGATGGAACTGTGTCCCCAAACCTCAAAGAAGAATGGCTGTGGGCTGGGTCACCAGCTTCAGCAGAGATTTCGACACCCCAAGCATGGCACGGGTGCAGCTGAAAAGCGTTAGTCCAATGGACCACAGTAAGTGCGGGTGGTGAGAATGTCAGTATAGGCCATCACCAGACATCTCCAATCACCTGAAACTCTTGTCCCATTCCCTGGACATTAAGTAAGCCTCTCAGATTCTGGACAGACATTAGGTTGGGGAAAAAGAAACATTCACGCTGGAGATGGAATTTCTTGTGAATTTAAAAAGCTAAGGGGTGACAGTAAAAATAAGTTTTATTTAAAGGAAATAAAGTAGTATTTTGTACACATCTTGGCCTGCAGAATATAATTAATACCTACTTAGTTGTGAAAAAATGAAAGTATGTGTGAAGTACGTAAAGAGAAAAAGAAAACTAGCGATTGCTACATCACAGAGAAGGTGATATTATCTGAACAATGTTTAAAGGATCAGCGAAAGCTTCCCGAGCAGGGGGAATGACATGTGCAAAGTTAGAGAAATCCCTAATGCTACAGTTTGCCCTAGGTACCACCAATAATCCATTAGTGCAGTATTGGAATATAAAATTCACAAGCAGCTGGTTTTAAGGGATGTGGTTGAGAGAAAAAGATAAAATATATTGAATGAGCAGAATAATATTTTTTAATAGCAGTGGTTCTCAAAATGTGGTTAAAAGTGAGTGAGATGTGCACCATCTGGGGGATGGTCAAGCTGGAAACTCAGACTTGTGGGGGGAGGGGGAGAAAGGGCATTTATTGAAACCTTAAAATTTGTACTCCCATAATATGCCGGGGAAAAAAAGACTCCTAGAGATTCCAACACTTTTTGAAGGGGTCCACAATGCCAAAAGTATTTTTCTTATAATAATAAGACATTAGTTCCCTTTTACAACCTTTTTTCTCACAAGAATGCAGTGGAAATTTCCAAAGGCTATGTGATATATGATGTCACAACAGATGAAATGCAGAGCAGATATGAATATCCATGTATCTTCTATTAAGGCAGATGCTAAAGAGATTTGCAAAAATATAACACAATGAATTTTTTCTCAGTTTGTTTTAAAATTATCATTATTTTTCATAATATATTATTTACATTGACATGAAATAAAAATGCTTTGAAAATATTTGTCTTAATTTCTAATATGGTAAACACTGTTGTATAAAAGCCACAGAAACAAGCAAAATACATCTTTGGGGTTGGTCTCAAGAATTTTTAATAATATGAAATAATTTGAGACCAAAAAGTGTGAAGAGCCATACTGAAACCTAATACAGGCTGAGGGTATAGACTTCTTATTTCTTAATCCCCAAATAACTAGTATTATAAAATGGAAAACATTAATAATTGACATGGTTATTAACTATGAACGTAGAGTTGGTACAGATAAAAGGCACCAATACATTGACAGAATAGCTTCGGAAGTAGGTGATGTAGATTTAAAAGAGAACTGAAAGGTAGCATAAATAATAGATTTAATAAAAAAAAATAGGAAAGTAATCAAGTGGCAATCAAATATGCCATATTTATTAAAAGTAGGTTGTCGTGGTTATTTACTCATTGCCATTAATTTTGCTAAAGTAGGAGAAGGGGAAGGATAAGGAGAAGGAGGAAATGACAACAAAGAGGAGGAGGAGGAAGAGGAGGAAGTAAAGAAAGAGGAGGAGCTAAGCTTTTGCATGCTTACATGTTTATTAGTACTTTACATATAAATGTTAGGTTGACTGTCATAAAGAATTAATAGTAATAAGGTTACATCTAGGTTTTAGTGTCCAAATGAATATTTTCTGGGATAAATTAAGAAGGCAAAAATATAATTAAGAGGGAATAAAAGTTGTAACAAATGTACCACTTTGGTGTTCCAAAAATTTAAGTTAGGAAATCCTATGTGAGGACAAGCAATATTTGAATATTTGATACAGATGCAAAATTAATAAAGATGTTTAGTCAATTCTTTAAAAAAAATTGTTATTAATGAATATGACCAGCCTGTAGGATGAAAATTATAAAATATTTGTAAAATTATTATTCTAAATACTAGTCATAATTGTTATATGATTTAATAACTCAAGGACTACTAAGTCAAAAACAATATTAAGGAAGGAAATGGAAAGTTAAGTTGATTTGGAACAAATATAGTGATTATTTGTAGCGATTTAAAAACAAGATAGAAAACAAAAATTGATAAGATCAAACAAAAACTATAAGAGAGAATATACAATCTTGGTTAATTTTATTGTTGTTTTATAGAAACACTCATAAGTAATTCTATAAAATACTTATCTAAAAATAAATATATTAAAACAATAATACCATCACCTGCGAGATACCACAAACCTATTAGAATGGCCCCAGTCCGGAACACTGAGCACTAAACCTGTTACTGACTACGTGGAGCAACAGAGCCCTCATTCTTGGCTGGTGCGAATGCAAAATGACGCTTCACTTTAGAACACAGTTTGGCGGTTTCTTACAAAGCTAAACATACTTTTACCATAGAATCCAGCAATCACACTCCTTATTTACTCAAAGGAGGTGAAAATTTATGTCCGCACAAAAACATACACAAGGTTGTTTATATCAGGTTTATTCATAATTGCCAAAACTTGGAAGCAATCAAGATGTCCCTCAGTAAGCAAATGGATGAATAAACAGTGGCACATCCAGACAAAGAAATACTATTCAGTGCTAAAAAGCAATGAGCTATCAAGCCATTAAAAATGACCATAGAGGACACTTACAAGCATATTAGTAAGTAAAAGAAGCCACTCTGAAAAGGCTGTATACTCTCAGATTTCAATCATATGACTTTCTGGAAAAAGGAAAAACTCTGGAGACAGTAAAGGGATCAGTATGGGTTCGCAGGGAGAGAAGGATGAATAGGGAAGCACAGAAGATTTTTAGGGCAGTGAAAAACTACTCTGTATAATGCTATAATGATGGACATATGCCATTATAAATCTGTCCAAACCTACGGAGTGTACAACATCAAGCATGAACCTAATGCAAACTATGGACTCTGGGTGATAATGATGTCAATGTAGGTTAATCTGTCATAACAAATGTACCCCCTTGGTGGGAAATGTTGATAATAGGGGAGGTTACGCATGTGTGGGAGATGGTGCGCACCACACCCATTAGGTGTGAATATACTCGTCCCCTCATCCCCACTCCCACCTGGCCAACACCTGATGAATGTTACTACTATATGGGCATGTAAGTGTTAATCAGTTAATACCAATTCGATGGTGAGTACATGTGGTACTTGTTTTTCCATTCTTGCGATACTTCACTTAGCAGAATGGGCTCCAACTCCCTCCAGGATGATACAAGACATCCTAGATCACCATTGATTTTTGTGGCTGAGTAGAACTCCATGGTATACATATACCACATTTTATTAAGCCACTTGTGTATCGATAGGCACTTGGATTGTTTTCACATTTTTGCAATCATGAATTGTGTTGCTCTAAACATTCTAGTGAAGATGTCTTTTTTATAGAATGTCTTTTTCCCTTTGTATAGATATCCAATAATGGGATTGCTGGGTCTTCTTTCAGCTCTTTAAGGTATTTCCATATTACTTTCTGCACAGATTGTACTAGTTTGCAGTCCCACGAGCAGTGTATGAGTGTTCCCATCTCTCCGCATCCAGGCCACTATTTGCTGTTTGGGGACTTTATCAAGTCCATTCTCATTGTAGATACGTGATATCTCATTATGGTTTTGATTTGCATTTCCCTGATGATTAGAGATGTTGAACATTTTTTCATGTTTGTTGGTCATTAGTCTGTTTTCTTCTGAAAAGTTTCTGTTCATGTCTTTTGCCCACTTTTTAATGGGGTTGTTTGATTTTTTTCTTGCTGATTTTCCTGAGTTCTATATAGATTCTAATTGCTCTTTATCAGATGTATAGCATGCAAATATTTTTTTCCCATTCTGTAGGTTGTCTATTTGCTTTCATGATAGTTTCTTTGGCTGTGCAGACACAGTTGTTATTGTTTTAATTTAACATTTTTGTGTGCCAACAATCTATTTGTCATTTTGACAGTATTATCACTTGGTAGAAATTCTGCAAAGGATTTTAGGGAGCATTTTCTTTAGATGTAGTTCACAGAATACAAATGAACATATTAAATATTTGGTGTTTCCTTTTCTAAAATATATCTTTACTTTTATAATGTTTTTATATAGTTTCTATTTTATCTATATTCTGTCAATTTATTCTCAC